GTCATTGCACTCATATTACTCACCGAAACCTTGTAAAGCCGGTCCCGCATGCTGGCTCTTACAGAACCGACTAACTCCCCTTTCATATAGGTACAGCTCTCAACGTGCCCAGACTTGTAGTGATTTTCACCTCGTAAAATACTTTTATTCTCATTCTGAAAGAATGTGGTGAAATGTGCTAACGTGACGGCCATCTTTATGTTGGTGACGCGTATTGTGCGAGACGAGAGACCTGTAGTTCACTGAGCGGTTTCACACGAAAAAATGTGTAACTTCACAGTTTTACGACACATTTTTATTTTTTTGACTTGCAAAATGTTCTTTTAAATTGACAAACATCATATGTGTCATTCGTGGCACAATTCAAACGGGATCAAAAGATAACCTTTCTCTCTCCATTGACTTCAATGTATAATTTTCCGCTTCCGGGGTCCCATGGAGGCTTTCGGAAGGGGAGGGACTTCGCCTCTCTATAGCTGAACTCACTGCCAGAGTGGTAGGAGTACTGAAGAAATTATAAGGTTGGAACTGGATTTAAAGAGACACTATATGGGTCATTCCAGAATTGGAGGACAATTTAGACACCAACATTTTTGAAAAATGAACCTTTTATTTTATTTTTATTTTTTATGTATTTAGGAAAAACAGATAATAAACCATCAAAACAAGTGCCCAGCTAGGCATCAAATGAATATTTTCCAATGAAGAATTATCCCTGTTACTCTAATTATAGTAACAGGGTTGAAAATCAATGCTAATTTGAGCTTTAACCTCAGGAATTATTGCTAGATGTAGCATGTAATGCTACTTTCAAGGCAAGGACAAACTTGGATATCTAATGCAAGAAAGATAACTTTTAAATGAATATGCTTTATTCTGATAATATCACACACTCTTTTAAGACTGAAAAGATTGTAAAAATATGAAAAATAAAAGAGAGGACTTAGTTTTGGTCTACCCATGGCACTAGCAGATGGCTTGCTGATGTCCTTTCCACTATGTCATCTGACTTACAGTTTTTTCACTTCCTGTGCCAATCTAAAAAGGTTTGGGTAACAGGGTTGAACGCATGTTGAGGGACACACCTTCTGTGCAAAATTACTGTTATCTAAAATATGTTTATGATTTAACAAATTGATTTTACCATTACAAGAGACATATATCAATAGAATAATACCAAAAAAAGTAAATCAAATCCCTATTTTAAATATTATATTTGACATGCAAGTTGGTCACCAAGAAGCGGGGACAAGAGAAAAATGCCATTTTAGGGGATGTTCGAGAGCTATTTGATAATTTAAATAATATTTTGAAACCACTTTTTCTACAACTTTATATACATTTTGTCTCAAGACAAGTATGTTTAACAGAACAAGTGCATGTTTTAGTATTTTGGGCATGGATTATTAGATTTTTTATATGGGGGACATGAAATGTCCTCCAATTCTGGAATGACCCATATATTGTACTCTAGGTTGTCATTTGATTTAATTGATGGTACAATTGTTTGTTTTTTCATTGAATTAGATATATTTTACCTGTGAAAAGGGAAAATAAAAAGAGTTAACTCAGGATATTGAAGAGATTAAAATAGGAAAAACTTATAAATAATACTTAGTAGACCGGTCTAAAATAAAATAGGCTATTTTATTTTGTTCATCCTATATGGATACCATTTACTAAGTCACAGAAATCAGAAAACAAGGGAAAGGTGAAATACTTACCTCTGATTATACTGCAGAAAATATTCATTGTCTATATTTAATGTTTTGTCTATTTCGTAAATTGCCGGCTGTTCTATTCAAACCACCTGGTCTCTGGTCTAAGTACTTACCTCTCTATCCACTCCAGTAGAACCCAGAATCCTTCTAGTCAGATAGCATAGCCCAAGATAAGAAGTGTTACACAAGCAAGCGCAGGCCAGAGACAATGAACCAAGTATAATCCCGGCTGGATATATGACATTGAAAAACAGTTAATATCTTGAAGGTTGCTGCTCGTAGAAGGGCACGCATCCCAGGTCCGGGCAGCAGATTACAATCTTGGTTGGGCCTATCCACAGCACTGCAACAACTGACCTCCAGCTGTGCAAGAACAATAATCCCTCTGTTTTAATCTGCTTGCAGAGGCCATCCAAGGCCATACACTTGGAAAACGGTTTGATGGCAGTTTCATGATAAGCTATTAACAATCGGCCCATATGTGAGGAAGACTTGAAACATGGGCTTAAACCCAGTGTGCGTGTTCCTGAGAGAGAGGCAGTATGGGGAAAGCCCAACATGACATCTGGATCTGAAAATCACAGGATCTTCCTGGTGGGATTTATCCATTGCTGTTATGATTATTTGGCCTTACGCTTGACGGTTCCAATTCCACTCACAGCAGCACGGGTTTAAGGGAGGAAGGCCTAAATAGCGGGGATTATTCTCCCTCTCTCACTCTCTCTTACCCTATTTTCCTGCATCAAAAGCTCTGCCTCTCATTCAGTCTCTGTCGCTGTGATGACCACAGGCATGAGCACAGCAGGCGTCCATCGAGGCTTCCTCAGGAAATATGGTAGGCCTGCTCTGACTCATCATTGTGTGTGACAATGATTCATGTTGGTGCTTATTCTATGACAATTAATTTGTAGTATTACATTTAGGTCACTTGATGGGCTGTGTTTTTAAATACACTCCCTATCCACCTGTGTTTGGCGGAACTTGTTGTGAGTTCTCTATGTTTGCAGTTGTGTGTGTTTTTTCATGGTTAAAGCTATCTGATTAGCGCACAGTGAAAGATCAGAGATTTGATTATTTGTGAGAGTTTTTACCTAAAATGGCCATTACCATATGCCAAAAAACAACTAAATATGTCTTTCAAACATTTTTGACAGTCAGAATAAAAAATAAAGTTGTTATTTGTAAAGGATTTCAGGCCTGTACTTGACAAAATGGTAAAGAAGAATACTGTTGAGATCAGCACTCCAACTCTCAGATGAGTGACATCAATCTCAGAGAGACTTTTTGTTATGTAATTTCCCCTAGATGTGTTTTTACAGAATGACGAGATGTTTTGCTTTCGAAGCCAAGTCAGGATCCAGGGCTCAGCCAGTGTCATGTCTTTGTGCCGATGTTACATCTGTTTCATATCTCCATCAATTGAATTTGATAGTGGCGTCATGGTGGCTCAGGGGACAGAGGCGGGAGATACAGTTAACCAGCAGCGTCAGCAGTTCTGATAAAGATTCTTTATCATCTTTCTCTCCTCACTGAATCAGAACCACAATTCAGTTGTGGTCAATAATCTTTTGTTTGGGAATTGGTTTAAGTACTTCAAAAACAAAACAATTTGAATAAGCAGAAAAACAATTAAACTTCACTCAGTCAGTATAGATAAAAGTATAGATACAAGTGTAAATATATATAAAATAAAATACATTTGGGAATAATACATGTTTACAGACTATGAGCCAGAGTCAGAGAGTGGGGACTGTTTCTGCATCACATAAAAACCTATGGTTTTGTATGTCCATTGTTATTCAGATATAATGGAAAACAAACAAATTGTTAATTTGTTTAACACGTTAAAAAAAAAAGGAAAAGGGTTATCATTATTACCCTTGTCACTTACAATCTAAGAGCATTATGTGTGTCCTGACTCCTGTCCAAAGAAACTCCCAGAATGCTCCAAAAACAGAAGCTTTTTGTTTTCCTCTACAGGTCGAAGCTGCCCTTGTTGTCTGGTTGCAATGACAGAGAGATTTATGTTAGAATATAGAGCTTTAATGGTGCTCTGAACTCTGTTATTTGACACTTATTCTAAAAGTTATTCTAGATTTCAGGCCTCATGCATTAGCTTTTTTCCTTGCAAAGAATTTCCTTTTGCCTAGTGCAAAACAACCACTCTTCTACAAATACTATTTTTTGTAATAGTTTTTGACATAGCTGTGATTAAACGATTCTAAGGTCATTTTTCGAGGTAGCGTTTTGTGCTGCTGTTGAATTGATATATACGTAGGTATAGAATAGTCCAATTAAATCAATGATTTGGACCGGATTTAGTTCACCTTTCAATAGAGAGCAGCCTCAACACAGACACAACTAAAGCATGACTCGGCAATAATTAAACATTTCAAAATGTCAGATGTTTTTCATGATGTTGGTAACCAATCACAAAGTCTCCAGTATGTAGGGAGGAATGTTGGTATGCGCCTCACCACTTTGGTCCACATTGAAATATCTCAATACCTATTGGATTACCATTGAATTGGTTCTGACATTTAGTGATTTCCAGAAGATGAGTCAAATGTTTTTGCTGTTCCCCTTACTTTCTTTTCAAACTTTTTACTACCGACTATTTGCAGCCTGTGTTTTGCACTAATTAGCACATTTAAGCATGCTAACAACAGCCAAGCAGGCTAGGTTGGTAACATGGTCAAAAATATTAAGTATTGTCATTGTGAGCTTGTTGCCAAAGCTTAGGACCCCCCTACTGTGCCTCATTAGTCCAGGGGCATAAAGCATGGGGAAGGTTAATGGGCCCTTCCCTGGTTTCTATCCCCATACTTCTGGCGCCCGGACCACACCCTTTTTCGACCTCAGCCTTCATTTTGATCTTCAATACACATCTGTAAAGTTTCGTGACTGCATCTTGCACTGTTTAAAAGCTAAAAGAAGTAAGAGTAAATCAAAATGTGAAGAGAATACTAGTATCACAGTCACATCCATTTTTATCTTCAGTGCTGTAAATCTGTCCCATAAAAAACCCTAAAATCACCGACCTACGGACACGACACACCTCTACACTGAAAAAACTGAAACGTTGACTTTAATTACATATATGTCAACAAATGGTTAGATGATAATAATACTCAATAAAAACTTGATATAATTGCTTTTAACTATCCCAATACAGTTATGTGAAATATGTTGACATAATACATTTAATTAAAGTCAACGTATCAGTTTTTTCAGTGTAGAGAAAAGTCAGAAGTATCTAATCCCTTCATTGCGCTGCAGGGGGCTTCATGTTTAAGCAGTGGAAGGAGAAGTACCTGGTGCTGACCCTGGAGGGGAGCCTGTTGGTGTGCCGCGATGCAGAGTCGCCTCCAGACCAGAGGGTAGCCCTACACAGCAGCTGTGAGTCCATCGTAGAGGGCCGGGAAATCATCGACCTGCCCAAGCTGCCTCCAGGGGGCAGGAGGGACTGCTGCTTCGCCCTCATCCTGCCGCAGAACAAGTTCCTGCTGCTGCTCTCTGACAACCCTGATGACTGCAAGTATGTCTCTATCTCACACACACAAACACACACACAACAAAAAGCTGGGAGGCGAGACGAGGGGTATGAAAGTGTAACGATCCTTTATTTAGTGCACACTAGGGATGGGTATCGTTAAGGTTTTAACGGTACTACTACTTTTATCGATGCCGCTTATCAGTCCGGTCTTTTAACGGTACTTTTATCGGTTCTTTTGGAGAGAAAAAATAAGGTAAACTAACTAAACAAATTGTGAACAAAACTAACATTGCTTTTTATTTAAATTAAATACATAATATTTCACATCAAAAGAAACAACAATGTTTTAACAAATCGTATTAAATAATCTGATGACAGACTGTAAACAGAATAGCTGAAACTTTAACAAACTAAATAACTCAGTTTCCTCTAATCATTAACCCATGTTTGTATCATGTAGCTAACTCCGTGTGTTGCTGCTAGCATACAGAACTAGGGATGGGTACCGAGCCCTGGTATTAAACGGGCCCCAGGGCTGAATTATTAAAGACCGTGGTACCGTTAAGCTCCGACGTTAACGGTCTTTTTATCGGTAGGCCTACTGGAGACATGTAAAAAATATATGTATTATTGCTACACAAACATTATATTGCAGTTAGTGTCGCCAACTCCGTTTCTAATACGCAAAAAGCGTGCAAAATGCGTCTTTTTAGTATTTTCCATCTTTCCAATCCAGGCGAGAGATCTCTCTCTGCTCGCGAGGGGGCGGGGCAGTTTACACACACGCGGCTGCTACATGCAGCAACACTTACACGGTGGAGAGAACGCGCTCCGAGTTGTGGTTCAACTTTACCCGTCTCGATGTGGACAATGCTCGTTGCCAAAAGTGCAATAAGAGTTTAGCATGTGAGGGCGGTAACACGAGCAATTTGTCTAAACATTTATCAAAAGTGCTCCACATCCAGACGGAGGAATGCACCGGGTTCCACTGTCTTTCTAGTAGCTCTGTAGCCCCATCCACGAGTAACGTTTCCACGTCAGGTGTTATGTATGCTAGCAGCAACACACGGAGTTAACTCAATTATACAAACATGGGTTAATGATTAGAGGTAACTGAGTTATTTAGTTTGTTAAAGTTTCAGCTATTCTGTTTACAGTTCTGTCATCAGATTATTTAATACGATTTGTTAAAACATTGTTGTTTCTTTTGATGTGAAATATTATGTATTTAATTTAAATAAAAAGCAATGTTAGTTTTGTTCACAATTTGTTTAGTTAGTTTACCTTATTTTTTCTCTCCAAAAGAACCGATAAAAGTACCGTTAAAAGACCGGACTGATAAGCGGCATCGATAAAAGTAGTAGTACCGTTAAAACCTTAACGATACCCATCCATATACATAACACCTGACGTGGAAACGTTACTCGTGGATGGGGCTACAGAGCTACTAGAAAGACAGTCCAACCCGGTGCATTCCTCCGTCTGGATGTGAAGCACTTTTGCTAAATGTTTAGACAAATTGCTCGTGTTACCGCCCTCACATGCTAAACTCTTATTGCACTTTTGGCAACGAGCATTGTCCACATCGAGACGGGTAAAGTTGAACCACACCTCGGAGCGCGTTCTCTCCACCGTGTAAGTGTTGCTGCATGTAGCAGCCGCGTGTGTGTAAACTGCCCCGCCCCCTCGCACACAGGAGGGAGAGAGATCTCTCGCCTGGATTGGAAAGATGGAAAATACTAAAAAGACGCATTTTGGACGCTTTTTGCGTATTAGAAACGGAGTTGGCGACACTAACTGCAATATAATGACTTGTCTTTTTTATCCCTCACAGTCTCTGGCTGAATTTGATCAGGAAAGTGAAGGAGGTGAGTCAGCATTTTTTACTTGAGTTGCTTCATTCAGGCTTGTTTTCATGTCTTCAACTTAAAGTCATGTGACTGTGATCGGTTATGCCCTAACATTAGTTTTGACTTCTGCCGATTGCATTTACAATTCAAAAAACATAAACCTGCTGTTAATAAGAGGAGATTATCACGCTGAACAAAATGTTTATCATAAATGTCTTTGCCACAAAACTTATTTTATGCAAAACTCTGAAACCTAATTGAACAATTCCAATGCATTGTCAAGTAATAGCTTGAGATGCTAACATGTCATCCCAACATTTTATATGGAAACGTTATATTTGTGTATGTCTCATTTTCTAGGGTGTCATGTCCCCCCTGACCCTCCAGAGACAGCGCAGCATCAATCCCTGCATCACCGACAGAGACCCCCTGCCGGATTCTTCCAGCGATAAAGACCCCGGGTCACCCAGGTTCAGTGAGGGGACCCCTCCTATGTCCGGTGTCACTCAGCGGGGAGGCTCCTTCAGAGACAGTGGCCAAAACCAAGGTCTGCTATGTGGTCATCTCGATGTAACATCACAAGACTAAAAGCTAGGGGTTATGATATGGTGGCTAAGAAAGCTTGATGTCTGTTTATAAAAAATCAAATGAAGAATCGCCACTACTGCAAACATTAGTGGCGATTATTTTTAGAACAAGTACAAATTCACAATAGCGCACTTGCATGCTGCATCCATTGCTGCGTCTTATTTTGGATACATCCCTTGGTACACTGCATGTCATGTGCTAGCAAATATTTTGCAGTGTGAAGATGTAGTGTTGCCTTAAATCAGTGGTTCCCAACCTGGGGGGCGCCAAAGATCGCAGGGGGGGCGCCAAAGATCGCAGGGGGGGCGCCAGGCCTCAGATGATTTGAGGCCAAATATCATATTTAGACTTTTTTTTTTTATTCTTTTTTTTTTACATATAATTGTAACGCAATACATGATTGCCACTAAAAGCCTTGTCTCTACATCACAATAAAATATAAAAAATAATTGATTAATTTGAATACAAATTGAAGTTAGTATTAAAGGCATACAAAGACAGAAATGTATAATTCTTTCTTTAATAGAAATGTTTCTTCTGTCCGTAAAGTGTCCAAACCGGGCTTTTCTGGATAAGTGCATTTTTAAAACACAGTCATTGTCCATGCCGGTTTCAGTTGGATTATTTGTCACAGTTGCTCCAATCAGATCGGTGTCCTCCATTTTGTAGATTATTTACTTTTGAATCCACATAAACACATCGGCAAAATCCGGCTTACTTTGAGCATGTGTTTTAAACAGTTTAATCCCTTTGTGAATTGTTTCCACCTGCGCCGTCCTTTAATTTCTTCATACAGCGGGAATCCAAATGAATTAATCCTGAGTCCAATAACCATCAAAGTCGCTCCAATAGTGCTCCTTGATTACGCTTTCATCCTCATTTAACAAAATACTTCACATCCATCCAGTTTGTGACAGTAGTTGTAGCATTTGAGACTTTTAAACTTTCATTACCGCTGTTCCGGTTATTACCCGTCCCCTTGTGTGATGTAGCTTTTTCTGCATGTAAACAGTCTGCAGAGTCACAAACCCTCAAAGTACACCCTGTAGCGAGTAAAACTCTAACCTAGTTTCCATAGTTTTCTTCCGTGGAGCTCCTCACACACACACACACTCTGTTAGCAGTGAAAATGTGACGCGCTGGGGGGGGGGGGGGGTGCTAGTGAAGCCTCGCAGATGGGGCTATTCTATTCGCGATGTCTCGCAGCAAGCAGCAAACCACACCAGTAAGCCAGCTCACACTGTCAGCTCCTCGCAGCAGCGAGCCAGTGGGCGAGCTGACCAATCAGAGCACACTGGGCTCAACAAGGCGTTTAGGACAGAGAGTGACATTCAGTGAATACACATACTATACAGAGATACTGTATGAGAAACCAATGTGAGTTTGGAACATTGAACAATGTAAATCTATTCTAGTAGACCTCAACAATGGAATTATGATCAGTAGAAATGGCCATGTCATGGGACCTTTAAGAAGTGAAAAAAACAAATGTCTTACCTATTTGTATAGTGCTGTATTTACCTGAGCAACCGCAATTGTGGCTGGTCCCACCACTTCCGTTACTTAGCCAAAAAGGGCGATTATTGAGTGTGAGAAGTGTCCAGCGTTCCACACTTAACTTTGTGACCATGTGGGTGCACCATCCAAGTATTCATGCTGCACTGCATTTTGCCATATTGGGACGCACGTATGCACTTAAAACAACAAATGGAAGAATGGAAGTTAGCTAACAGCCTAATGCAAGACTTTGACAGCACATTAATGGCATAAAGAAACTCAGAAGTACATCTTTTGTGTCTCACTAGGAAGACATTCAAAATGACTGTAGCTTGTTTTTTATTTATTTGCAGCTCTTTTACTCTAAATGTGACAAATAGCCCAACAGCATGCCCTCAAAGGCTGAAGTGTCGTGCGCTCTCAGCAGTGGTTGAATGTTCTAGTGTTTGTGCTCACCAAACTCACAGACAGCTGGAGATATCAGGTTATTATGGCTAACACGCACCTAATTCATTTCATCTTATCTTTGCTTACCTTTAGTTGTGGTTCAACGAGCTGCAATGTCGGGGGCTTATAGCAAATTGATTATAATAATAATAATAATAATAATAAGACATGAAACTCAAAGACGCTTTGACAGAGAATTAAGAGCAGAAAAAAAGACAAGAGAAAACAAAAAAAAATAGATAACAAAGAAATACAAAAAGAGATAAACAGAAAAAAGAATAGGGGGGGGGGGGGGGGGTGGTCAGAGATTAAATGATTAAATGTTATTGTCATGAATATTTCTTAAAGGTGCTCTAGGTCGTAGGATACTGGCCCATCAGGTGTTGATGAGCGAACACATAGAAAAGATTGATGTTTGTTGTGTGCGGTCCATCTCGTAAAGAGATCTATTGCTCTACCTGATCAAACACACGTGCCTGGATTGTGAGATGTACTAACTGGTTAAAATTGAGATCTGAATACATTTAATTAAAACATAATAATAATAATGTTTATATATTTTTCAAATAACCTTTACAGCCGGTGGGCCTCGGCAGCCGCTGCGCAGTGTCCCTGTGGCCCCCCCTCATCGTGCGTCAGATTGTCTTCGCCATGGCAACAGCAGCGATGCCCGGGCGGTGCGGGCGGTGTGCCTAATGATGGGGGGGGCGGCAGCCTCTTCTGCTCTGGGCTACCTCAACTCCTGCTCCTCTTCCTCCCCGCTGGCTGGCAGAGCCTCAGAGATAGCCCACGTCACCGGGGGCTTCTCGGAGCCCCCTGCGGGGGGGTCCTTCCACGCTTGCGGCCAGGACGTGGACTCCCCCCACTTCAACAGCTTCGACTTTGAAGGAGACTCCGACTTTGATGCATTCGATTGTGGAGGATTTGCTTTTTAGTTCTGATTACATAGCAGCTGTTTGACAACATCCTTGTGTTGGTATTCCTTCATGATAAAAGGTCATAGTTATAAAGTCATCAATAGTCTGTTATCTATGCGTCTACTTTATAAATGAATGAAGGTGTTTTTCCTGGCTTTGTGCCCATGCTCCTCAGGTGAATCATTCTTGATCTTGACTCTTGTGAACACTGCCCGTGTGTTGTATCAGTGTTTCCGTGCCACAGGACGGCCTGAGGTTAACTGAGATGGCAGTGTAATGATCACACAGACGTTTAAGGGCCTCTGTTCAGATCCAATCTGCTTTGGGTGAAAGACACTGGCAGGGCGCCGGTGAGAGCCTCGTCCCAGCGTTTCATCAAAAAGGACTTTCTTTATTGCTTTATATCCTGACAACATATCACTGCGATTGTATGACAGACCAATATTGCCACTTGGTTTGTGCTACTATATCATTGTATGACTAGTATTACATCCAACTGGAAGATGCTTGCTCTCACACTTTGCTTCACCAGTCAATCTGACAGCCAGAAAAGTGTGGGGAATAATTTGCATATGACGAAAAACACCGACAGCAACTTCCAGTGTCCGTCCAGCCAATCCACTCCAACAGATCGATCTTTTCTGTCTGTGAAATGATAGAAAACAAGCTTCTCCTGCAGGTTCTGCAGTCACGTCATTCTCCCCTTTCTGAAAAGTTAAAAAGTGAGCAACTTCAAGTGTTTGGAGCAGCCGCATAATACACAAACAAATGATGCAGTCGTCACATGTGACGGCTTGTTCTCACATCAAACCGGAAATAATACATTTAAAAAAAGACACTAACGCTCAGAAAAAGGACACAGGCCCTAAGAGGACATGAAGTCTATTAACAGTTGTGTTTTCCCACAATTCGTTGTTCATTTTATACATTTTAAAATGTGGCCTATGTGAATATGTTGTCATCTTCCTTTTGCCCTGCTCTCAGGAGTCCCTATGTGATGGTTGATCTCACATGAAATGCAGTGCAGAGGTGAACGCCAAATAAATCCTGCTGTCACCATGACTGCGTCTTTCTCTCTCCATGCTGTTTGCTAGCTGGCAGGAGGGAGGGATGTGCAGAGCCTGAACTGCTCTGTGTGCCCTTCTGAGATTTTGTAGCACAGCAAAAAATAATCCTTTGGGTTTATAGATCATGTGCTGGATATGGATTTGGGTTTGTGTGCTCTCAGTTTGGAAATCATGTGCTGAGATTCACACACCGCTGAGCCACAGCTGCACATGTGTTCTTGCTGTCTTCCTTTGTCACATGCAAGAATGACTCAGCTGATTGTGATCAGTTGAAGAGAAATGGTTATTTTCGTACAGATATTAAAAATCAATCTTTACCAACCTGGAGAACATTTTCCCTTCCTATAAGTAAATTCAGCTTGGAAGTCATTTTTCATCATTGTTGAAAGTACATTTGATCAACATTACTTCTGTGTATTATCATATTATAAATGTTATGTAATACCTCAAAGCCCTGCTGCTCAATATGACAACTAGGCCAAACAGTCACGCTGAGGCTCCGCCACTCACAGACAAGTTAAGCGGGTTACTCAGATACATAAACATACAAATGTATTAAAGAATAACAGCAGATTCAGGTAAAGCGTGCGGGTGTTGTTGCTCCTTAATGTTTTGAAGGGTAAAAATATATTTTTAAGTGTTTTGTTAAATAGAAAGTTTGATTGTGCCTAAGTATTTGACCAAAACAGTCCACCTCTTCCAAAATGCCATGCTCCTACCAACTTTTCATTAAATATTAGCACAAAAAACAATTCACATTAAAGGTTTAAACTCTTGATAATCATTTATTATGTTTTGTTCTCTGTGCTGGACAGGGCTTATTTTTTGTAATCTCTTGATAAAATGACACTTTGAGAGTTCATATAACATATGTATTTCTCCACATTGGACAACATACTGTATAGCAGCAGATCCAATGTTGCACACTGCCAACACGAAGAGATTATGGGATATATGCAGCGGGGTGAAGGACTGGATCTAAGAGATGATTAAACACATTGGTACAGTCCATGTAGTTCAGCTGTCCTAAATCCAATCCCAATCAAACCCGAAACAGAATCAAGCTCAAACTGAATCTACGTTCTTACGACTGGAGCTGAGAGGAGCAACCAATCCAACGGTTGGGTTATTGATCAAATCAGTAGTGGATGTGTGTTTTGTAAATTGTGTAATTTCTGCTTTATCTTATTTGTATGCATGCTTCTTAATTATAATTAAGCTATCTGGCTATTTTTATTTGCTGTAACAATGTACATTTCCCCTCTGTGGAAGAATAAAGGTATTCTGATTCTGATATACAAAAAGCTATTTGTCTGCCGGCAAATCAAAGAAGAGAGTGTGAGCTTTGTCTGTTTGCTCAGCGCATTCATCCCTCTCTCATCCATTAATCCTTATCTCCTTCTGATGGCATGTGCAATAAACATTACAATATGTTACATAACCATTCATCCTGCTGACACTACAGAATGCAATGTTAAATTGCATTTTAGTTGAGTATGGGTGTTGAGTAGTTATTGAATATGGCAATAAGCCACCAGGCATCATTTTACACATTCGTTGGAAATATTGTTGTGCAAGGCAAGTTTATTTATATAGCACCTTTCAACACAAGGCAATTCAAAAGTGCAGACGTATTTCAAATGATAAAGTATCGATCTTATCGAACACACATACTCAACTAAAATTTCTTAAGAAAATTCAATATCCAGCTCATGCCTATTGCTCTAGGTTTACACACAGAAAGATATTATTTTGTTTATTACTGTCAATGTCTTCAACATCAACGTGGAAAATATATAAAGTTAATTAGTGTTGTTGTCCTTTTCCTTGTCCATTGTTCAATTCAGATGATGTTGTCAGCCTGGCTTCACACTGGCTTTCAGTTAATGAAAATCAATAACCATGCCAAGGTGCAGAGGTGGGGACTCGAGTCACATGACTTGACTCGAGTCGCATATTTTTGGACTTGAGACTTGCTTGACTAACATTGATAAAAGACTTGACTTTGACTTGGTATTCATGACTTGAGACTTGACTTAAGCTTGAGACAGGTGACTTGAAAGGACTTGACTTTTTTTAATTAAATATTTGCGTTTGTTTTTGTATTGAGATATTACGTTTAGTTTTTTCGAAATGTGGTGATTATAGCGCCATTCGCGCAAACCTGGCAACCCACTAGACGGCAGGAGTGTCAGTTAACATGGCAGCGGCTAGCGTTACTCCACAAATAGTGAAGTTTGGATTCAAGGATTATGTTGTCGATGACGGTAATAAGAAAGAACAGCGGTATGCAGGGTCTGCAGCGTAAAGATCAGTGACAGGACCACCACAGCATCCAACTTCATTCGTCACTACAAAAAAACCCACAGAGAGAGGTGCGTGCATGTGTTGTGTTAGCTAGAAAGCTAACGTTAAGTTTAAGCTACGTTAGACTTGGTTTCAAATCGATTAAGCATTGCAAAGAGAAGTCAAAACGGTAAATGAACACTAGAACCGCCAAGGGATTCATTTTGACTAACCCTGATACTGACGTGCTGTCAGGAGAGGGGGAGAGAGAGGAAAAGAGATGCCTCGTTTATTTCCCCTGTGTTATTATCAGAAGTTACTGTAAACTTTTGAATAATGTAGTTCATCTACTTTTAGTAGTTTGTTTAAATGTTTTAATTATGTTGTTTTTGTTTGTAGAAGTGCATCATTCCTTGATTTATTTAAAAATGAATCTGAACTTTTTGATCTGTTATTATGATAAACTGAAGCAATTTCTAAATGAACCCAATTAAGTGAGATTTAAATCATCCTACTTAGTTTATAAGGAAATTATGAAGAGGAACAAATTAAATGATTTGAAAATGATATCTATGTAGGGCAAGGGTGCCGGAAGCGGGGGGGCCATTGGCCCCCCCACTTTTCAGCCCTGCCCCACATTTTCGCAGCTGCGGATGCCGCGGAACACTGTAAAAATCCAGTTTCAATAATTCCCCTCTACTCTAAAGTCACATCTAAAAAGAACGCCATCTGATCTAGCTGTGTATATTTTGTTATTTTTTATTGTTATATTCAATCTCATTAGCTACAGGCATTTTTTAAGCTTGCAAAGGGAAGATGACAGCTCGCCTCTCACTCGCCACTCTGCTCTTCCGCAGCGCTGCTCCCCCTCCCTCCCGCTGAAATTATGAATGTAAGGCATATAGTAATAGATAACACGGCAGAGTCCGTTACAGTTTGTTTTCATCTGATTTCAAATAAACAAAGTCTTGGCTTTCAGAATATTAAACTTTTTTCGGCAAATTCAGATGATAAATACAACTTTGAAGCTTTTAACGGCATAATTACAAGCGGAGAACGGAGTAACTTAACGTCACAGCAGGCATAACAACAGCCGGTGTTTCTCGTGAGGGTTTTCCCCGGGAAACAAACACAATTCACACAAACGCAAAAATACACAAACACACACATACACTCGCGAGCTTCCCCCAGACCAGTAATCCAAACGAAAATATCTTCCCTCCGTACTACTTTGATCATTTGCTCCGCTAATAATCAATCAGATCGATCCAGAGAAGAGGAAACTTTAAAGGCCTTTTTCTCAAAATGATGACTCTGTAACAGTCATTATATAATGTGACATATTTTGCTTAATATTTGGAGTACAAAAACAATCCTGATATCATAAAGCTCGGAATCTGCTCTTTCCATCAGTGTATACAACTCAAAATGTGTCTTCGGGTCAATGCGACTGATTTCGATAGAGCAGGTCACTGCATTAGGTACAATAAAGCAGTCAGACATAACAGGAAGAATATGTTGGCCTACATTTTAACCCAATCAAATAGGACATTGTCACACCATTAAAATGTATCCATGTAAATTACAACCAATAAAAAAGCTTAGATTTGTTTATGTGTTACGTTGTTTATTTGATTTGTTACGTTGTTCTGTGTGTGTCAGCCGTTAACCAGATAGAAAGAATATACACTTGCAAACATGTCAGAAGAACCAGCGCAGAAGAAAACTAAATACAGTCAATCTAAACTTAAATGTAACAACTGGAAGGTCACATCCCTGACATCCACATCTCCGGAGCCTGGACCTTCTTCAATCATAGAAGCAGCGAAGCCAGATGAACCCAAAAGCAGCAGCTCTGCGGCCGCAGAAACTGTCAAAACCACCGCCGCCACCGCCGTCGTTGAACCGAAACAGGCTGGTTCTAACTGCATGGAGGTTTGTTGTCGGGACATTGAGACAGGTAAAGCTGTACAGCTAACTGTCGAAAAAAAGGAGACAGCTAGATTATTTGGGCAAAGAGAAAGGTACTTCAACGCAGAATGGTACAAAAACAGAGAGTGGTTAATTATTTGCAAAACCACTAAACGGGCCTTCTGTGAAATATGCAGATTTGCTGATGTCAAACGGCTTGTAACTTTCTCAAAATGTGGAGATGATAGCTTTGTTAATACCGCAGTTAATAACTGGAAAAAGTGCCCAAGCCTCCTGGACAGCCATGAAAAGTCTCATTTCCACAGAGAGTGTATTAAAAAAAACTGCGCTTTCTTCATTCAAACACCAGTCAACATACAGCTTGTCAAACAACAGCATATTGAGCAGGAAAAAAGAAGAGATGGAATGATGGAGCAACTGCGCTGTCTGCCGTTTCTAACCCGACAGGGCCTAGCAATCAGGGGGCATGCAGATAAGGAGAGCCATTTCCAAAAGCTAGTTGAACTCGTTGCTGAGAAAAACCCCACTCTGAAAAGCTTCATGCTCACCGGGAAATATGCATCACATGCAGTGTTGAGTGTAACGCGTTACAAAAGTAACGGAGTTACAGTAATATATAACTTTTTGCTGTAACGAAGTAATGTAACGCATCACTAATGAAATGTGGGTAATATATTACCCGTTACAATGCTCAGTAACGCAGTTACAACACATTTTGACCCGATTTTGTTTTTTAAGAATGTACTAACATAGCGAGACATTCCGACACCCGAGACAAATTGTGCGGGTAGATTAGTAAACCTGGTGTTTACCCTTCAGGCTTCGCGTCGGGATCTTCGGGGCAGTTGAATGTTATGCACCCTATTCAAAAAGAGAACGGAGCGAAAAATACAAACAATAAATTGTGTCAGGTGCGCGTGACCTGCTCCGATGCACGTGCATCATTTCCAAAGTGCTTCCACAGCAGTGACACACATCTGTGGATAATCATTTATACGAAAATGGTTAAAGCAACCATCACTAAACGCCAGCAACACTGCATCTACTGCAGACAGTAGCAACGGGTCAGATGGGGACATCACGTTACCCTCCGTTGTGGACACACACTCCCGCCTGACTCGCCGCCCTCGCCCCCGGAGCAGCAGTCTTCGTCGCCCGAAACTACGCCGCCCCTCTGCGGCCCGCAGGTGCCAGGATACCACGGCAAAACAGAGCCTGCCCAGGTATATCTAAACAAGTACCCGCCTGTACAGTGGGGTTAGGCGGCCATTTTGCAGCTCGTGGTATAAAAATAGACAATGGAATATTAATGTGAAAATAGTGCCATATTCTGCCATGCCTGTAGAAATGTTGGGTCAAACATAATGCATACAATAGCACAGATGCCTTCACCACGAATGGCTACAAAAAGATCTCATATCCCAAGCTATCAACGAGCTAATGTTGCAGCTGAAATGTTCTCCAGGTCACAAAGCCAACCTCACATGATGATGTGATACCAGTTTCAAGCACAGTAAATATTCTCTTCCCAGAGTATATGATGGGACCAAGGTGATGATTTAGTACATGGTTTTAATAATACTTTTGCATTTCAATGTTTGCCATTTCAAACCATGAGCTGGTTTAAATAATATGTGCCTTGATTTACAATATGTTCTCATTTCTTTTATCAGTACAGCTTTGAAGCTTTTGTGCTTTTCCTTGCCATAGTCCACTTTGGACTATATGAGATATTTCAGGATTGCACTTTTAACTCACTTGAAATGTTCTCACTTGCTTGGTTTCAAAACATAACAAAT